ATGAAGTGTTATTCTCATTAAGAAAAATAGATAAAAAATTTTTTTACGCATATTCAAATTAATGTTGACAGTTGTAAGAATAAGAATATTTAATGATAGAAAATAAATTGAATAATTTTTTCAGACATCAGAATGAGATATTACAACATCACGAATGAACTCCCTTCTCTTCATGTTTCAATCTTGAAAAATTTTTTATTTAACTTCTAATTGGTCTCCTGACTCATTGAATGTTGATCATCTACGTTTAACATATTTTCTTTGGAATTTTATTCAATAGATTCAATTAATATAATAGAATGAATTCTATATTTATTAAACATAAAATATCTTGAAAAATGAATTTTCATTATTGGTATAAAATTTACATGCTATGCATTTTAACGATAATCTTTATGATAGTTGTCTTTCTTTTTCTCTGTATAAATGTAAAAAAACGAAAAACTTTGCATATATACAGGTCATATGTTGTAATTGACACAATGCATGGTCATGTTGATTTCTATAACTGATCAACTTTTTTTGTCAAATAGTTAATGATCATGAATAAACTTAATTGTAACTGTCCATACACATTTACGATTGAAATTATTGGCAAATGATTTTTTTTTCCATCTTTTGAACACTACTTTATATTTTAAGTATATTCGAAGCTTGTTCATTATTTAAATATTTATACAGAATTTTTGTTGTGCTTTTGCATAATGGTTCAATGAGAATTATGACGAAAGTTGTTTTTTAATTTTTTTGTAGAAAGATAGAAGATAAAAACAACTAATTTCATCAGTTTTTAACGATATTGCGAAAGATAGTTCTATATAAGGCATTATAAAGCTATGTTTTATAAATATTAAAAAAAAAAAACTTTACATATTACGGCGTATAAAATGAGTCAAGATAATCATTTATCTTCATTGGATATTGACAAAATTGCTCGGCTTTTCGACAAACCAGATGTCGTTCAAGCATTGATACTGACAGGTAGCTATGCACGTAATGAAGCAGGTCCAAATAGTGACATTGATCTTATACGTTTTGTCATTTCTGGAGCAAAATTATCAGATGATGGAACACATTTATATGAGAAAAAAATGCTTATTAATATATTAACAGTAGAACCAGATGAATATGAAAAATGGTTTACTGATCCTTATCAAGCTACAAAATGGATAGCAGGAATACGAGTAGCACGTGTAATTATAGATCGTGAAGATTTTTTTACTAATGGATTACAAATTCGTGCTCATAATTTTACTTGGGATACGACAATCCAAAATCATGCTAATATTGAAGCCAGTCATCGAATGGTTGGTTGGTGTGAAGAAGCAAATAAAGGTTTGGAAGGTCTGCGACGTAATGATGTTGGTCGTTTTCTTAATGCATGCCATGGCTTATCATGGGGTTTATCAGAAGTTATACAAATTCAACACGGTATATTAGTATCCAGTGATAATAATGCTGTTATTGAAATCGAATCAGCATTAGGTGATAATATACAAATGATTAAACTTCGTCGTATTGCGTTTGGAGTTATAGGAACTTATTCATTACGGCAACGAGTTATAGCTGGATTACAATTATTTGTATTACTCGCTGAACAGATGTCGAATATTTGGCAAGCAAATGATGTTCAAATTATTGACTATACTGCTGATCAAATACGTAGTTTTATTCCAAATCTGTTTTCAGAAAAGTTTTTAGATGAATAAATACAAAATTTTATAATATGATAACTACTAAAAAAAACTAAACTCTTGAAAAAAAAAATACTGCACATGCTTAAATTAATGAAGAAAAACAAATAGCAGGTGATGTTCGGTAAAAATTACTGACATTTTAGTTCTATATAGGAAAATGCTTTTCGTAAGGATATCTTTGAAGAAAGGGTAACGTATTTATAAAAAAAAAATAATACGCATTTAGCTGATTCCTTACAAAAATCTTATAACATATTTATAATAAATTTTTATCAAGATAATAGAATCATAGAATTGCTTTTTGTATGTGTGTGTGTGTGTGCAATATCGATTAATACTTATGTTGACTTGGATGATTAAACAAGATGTTATTTGATGTTTCTTATTACTTGCCGATGTAAGAAATCAATAATATAAAAATATATTTGCCGGACTAATTGTTAAACGTTTGATAATTGACGATCGTGTCACATGGGACTTTTTGAATTGTTTTTTATACTTATATGTACTCTTTCGTATTCTTCGATCGAACATGTAATGGATGATATTTTTAATGATGAAAAAAAAAAATATAAAAATTATTATTTGTCATAATATGTGAAGAATGATAAACTGTTAATTTGTATTTTAATATTCTATTTTTAGAAAAATGTGTGTATGGCTCTTTTTGATTCGTGCTTCCGGATTAATTCTGTAGATATACATTAAATAATAAATGTTGAGACGTGCGTCAAAGACTAGTTATCATGATTAACTTTCAAAGCTAAAATTAAAACTATTTGTTTGACGTTTATCGTTACAGATGAGCAATATAAAGATGATTAAGCATAACAAGACAGATGAAGCCTTTTTATTCTCGTATATACATGCGATGTGCTCAGTGAATTCTTAAGCTATGCATTGGTTTTATTTTTCATTGAATTTTTTTTCAATTATCAATTTTTTTTTTCATTATTTATCTTTCATAGAAAAATTTTAGTCGGTGTTTTTTTTCTTTCCTCAGGAAATCGGAGAGCAAAAGTTGAGATGAACAAATAGTATATTTTTTTTTTACGTAGTATTTTAATCAATCAATTATTTGGTTTGATGACGGTTCAACAGAGTTAATTTTGAATGCAAAGTTTTTTTTTCTTGCATACGTTGTCGTTTTTTTTCTTCTACGTCTTTAAAAAAAACATTCAACGGAATTTGATCGTCATTGTTTGTTCTGATTTTTCCTTTTTTTTTCTTTCTTTTTTAACAGAAGATTAGAAAAAAATAGTGTATATATATATATACACAAAACTTTTTCTAATGGAGAAATTCATGCAATAAGACTTTCCTTTTGAAAAATTCTCTTATGTAAATGATATGTTTCTATTCTATTTTTTTTATGTACAAATAGTCAGTGATATTTCCTGTTTGTATTAGGTAAACCTGATTATTTTGATAAGAATCCTTAATCTATCGATATACAAATTAAGGAAGATGTAATGCATTTGTTGTTAAGATTTTCTTATTAATCAGTCAACTAATAAGATGTATTTATGTGTGCGTATATAATCTAATTGAAATAGAAGAAAGAAAGGTATTTCAAAGATAGCAAAGAAATAAGAAGCAAAGAAACTGTTTCACAATGAGCTAAGTGTCGTCACACGTTCTATTCTTCTTTTTATTTGGTCACACTGTTCGGCACGTACATAGATTAGCGAAAAAAAAGAAAAAAAAAGAAGTAAACGTCAAAGTAAGAAAAGAAGAGCAATGAAGGAAGAAACATCCTCTTAGAATTTTCTTTTAAACGCCACGAATAGACGGGTTTCTCTTCATACCGGGTTACACATTCTTTATTTTGTATGGCAACTTTACTTTTTCTACTGTGCTCTATTTCCTTATTGACGTCGTCATCCTCACTCTTTTCTTTTTTTTTTTCTTCTGGGATAATAAATCTTGATTATGAAAAGTGAAATAGAAATATTATGATAGAAGAAACAGAAAGGAAAAGGGTTATTTTGTCATTGTAGCAATATACTTAGACTAATAATCATAATTAAATTGCGACAATTTGACATTAACATCTGTTGATAATAGCTACCAACAAGATATGACCTTCTTTTTATATTCCTAGTGAAATTATGTTCAACACAACGATTATTTTTAACGATATTCGGATACAGCAGGTAAATTTGTCACCTTAGAGAAGATTCATATATATATATATATCTAGAAGCAATGAAAAAGAACTAGTATATTCATTTTACTTCTTGTGAACAAAATAATATTCATTATCGTTATTATCATCATGAAATAAGAAGTCACTAGAGATCTAGATGAATTATAGTCGTGACATATTTAGAACATATAACAGAATAAAGTCGGAAGGGAAATAAAACTGCTAACGTGGCATATGTTTTCCTATGAAATACAGATTGTAAACAGAAAAAAACTACTAGTCATACTTTTGAATAAATACTAATGAATAGTAGTCTCTAAGTATTTTTTTTTCTCAATATTAATGATTATGAGAAGTAGTTCTCATTTTGTACCCTACCTCTTCAAAAGGCTTTTTATCTTTCATTGTTATCAAAGTGGTACTTGAAAATTAGATTAGAAAATTTTTAGTAAAACTAAAAGAAAATTCTTTAAGCTTACGCGACTTATTCAAAAAGAAAAAAAGAACTTTGTTTATGTGTTAATTTTTTACTATCAATTTTTATAGATCAATGTCTGCTTGTATCAACAATATGAATGAAGGTGTACCATCGTTGTCGCTATTATTATTTGCAGCAACGAGTGGATACCGATGCACCTGTTACCATTACAAAATCACGTAAGTTAAAATAACAAAAAAAGGAAAAACTTTTTTTTACTTTTTTTGAAATATTTTGGACTGTAGTCTTATTATATAAATACACTTTTTCCTAGATTAAAATAAATCGTTTTTTTTTTCTTTTGACTTTATTTCTCTGTTTTTTTATTCTTACTTCTGCTATGATTTTGTTTCTTAGATGTTCTCGATGTTTTCTGTTGCTATACCGTTTTCTTCTTCTTCGTCTTCTTCTTCTTCTTCTTCTTCTTCTTCATCTAACTTGATAGAGTAAATGAGAGAAAAGGAGGCGCTCTGTCAGCCTTGTGTTTGCATTATGTTCATGATCTATCAATGAATTTGATATGCGCAAAGTTAGGTAGATTATAATTAGACAATTCTTGATCAGGTCATGACAAAGAAAAAAAACAGATATTAGACTGCCTTTGATTTGATTTATTACATAGATTACCTTTTTTTTTTTCTTATTTTTTTGTATTTAGACGAGCGCTAGACCATTAATGCCCGGCTCTCGACGTGGTTTGGTTGCACCACAAAATACTTTTCTTGAATCAATCATCCGCAAATGTAGTGGTGCCCGTAAGTGTTATTTACTGAGATGTATTGATTTAAGACAAATGAAAGACATCCGAGACTGTTATTAGGAAAAAAAAACAAGAAATTTTTTTCAATTAAATTTACCTAAAAAATATTTCATTTTTCTTTTACTTTGAACTTTTATGTCATTTTTTGCACTTGATTTATCTTTATATATTTCATTAAAATTCTAAAATGTTCATTCGAATGCAACATTTTTATTATAAAATTGCTTATTTTATTTGTACTGAAGTTTTTTCCTTACTAGAGTATATATATTGATATGCATTCAAGAGGTACGAGTGCTATGGTTCAATGATATTTCCTGTTGCTCTTACACACAAATAATTTCCCAATACACATAAACATAAGACGAGGTAGATAGACATCGAATCGGCAAAAAATGCTCTTTTGGAATAGCAAATGAGTGATCCATTGGGAAATACAAAGAACGTGCATATACTGTCAACCATTCGTTTTTAACATTCATATTGAAAATATCCATGTATGTCACGTCAACAAACAACATATATACAGGTGTCAATCCTATAAGCACCTGTCGAAAATCAAAGAAAAAGAAATCAATTAAGGAAAATGAACATGAAGAAACGTCTAGCCAGTACTGATTTACCTTAGATTTTCGGTCGAATGAGCAAAAATTCATTACAATTTAAAGAAATATCACTGTAGAATCTAAAATAGATTGTGTGTACTATCAAATACATCATTGTTTACGAGACAAATTAATAGAAAACAGAATATTATTTATTCTTTAAATGATCTAGATACATATATTAATCTGATTAATTATATAAAATATCCTTTATAAGTACTAAAATATAGAAAGACAAAACATATATTTAGATACCGCGTTCGTTTTATCAAATGCTGAAATACTCGATTATCCGATTGTTTATTCAAATGATGGTTTTACCAAATTATCGGGCTATTTAAGAACAGATCTATTAAGTAAAAGTTCAACATGTAATTTTATGTATGGTGAATTAACTAATAGTGAAACACAATCGAAAATACGTGATGCCTTAGAAAATTGTCATATTGAACAGGTTGAAGTACTCTTATACAAAAAAAATAGTAAGATAAAAACATAGTCAATACTGTTGTTTTTTTTTCTATATTAGAAATATTTTTTATAGAAACACCTATATGGGTATTTATGCAAATAGCTCCGATAACAAATGAACGTGATGCAGTGGTACTTTATCTGTGTACATTTACAGATATTACAGCACTTAAACAACCGATCGAAACTGAAGATACAAAAAGTGGTCTTAGCAAATTTGCACGTATTGCAAAATCGGTTACAAGAAATCGTTCAATTTTGATGAATTTTGCTGCACCAAATGCAAAATCGATTACGATTGATCCAACAAAACCATCACATCTACCAAATGTATGTTAGAAATAAACGTAGAGTTCATCGAATACTAGATTTTTGAACATGAATCCGACGGGCTCTAGTAAAAGGATGATGAATTAGGCGGCGTTCTAAGCAAAAAAAAATTCTTGTCTGATTGAAAAGATGATTTCCTAGGCTATGAACTTTTTAGAGATTTTTTTAAAGTCTTACTGATATCTACTTAGGAATAAAACATGAGGTCAAATGTTTTAAATATTGTTGTTTTTTGATGAATATTTGTTATTATTTTACAAGAGAGGTCAATTTTTTGAAAGAATACAGACGAGTAAAGATATTCATATTGATTCTTTCAAAAAATATTTTGGATGACAGATAACAGCACTCTGTCATAATATATATTGAAAATATTAATTTCCGTTACAAAATGTTCAAGTTGACGTGATAGAAGACATTTTGATATTTCTTTATTTCATATTTCTTCATTATTTTGTCAAGAATTAAATAAATTATTGTTTTATTTTTTAGTTACTTAATCTCAGTGCTGAAGTATTACCGGTAAGTAATACAACATGGTCCATAAATCATTAGAAGATGAAAGCCGTCAATAGACCCAGTCTGATTTAATGAATCGGGCTGATCTTTTTCTCAATGATTGAGAACTCTTGAATGGATACTGTTTTGAGGCAACACATCTGAAATTTTCAGCATGTGTACTATCTAAGGAATGTAGTCTAACGAGATTGAATGAAGTGCGTTCGCTTACGTTGAAAAGAAATTATCATATATAATACGTTCTCTCCCTATGAATCTTCCACCTGAAGAAGTAGAGAAAGTTAAGATCTGATTAACCGATCAATATGAAAAACATCTGCAGCTTTTAAATACTTACATGAAACTTAATGAAGTCTATAGCGTTAATACCCACATTAAAAGACTATATACTGACAGGTTTGCCAAATCATAAGCTTGTTCTCTTGTTGATTTGTAGAATTCACCCTGAGAAGGATGACCATAGAATCATAACTACTCTTCAACTCAAGCAAACGACGCCGGGATGATATCATTAACTTAAATTTCTAAAGAATAGTATGTAGGCTAAAAATTTCACACATTTTCAATTTAAGAACAGCTGTGATCGCATGATGAGATACTTTTGATCGATAGTGTATTTCATCATTGTGGTTATTAGTGTTAGTTCTACACAGTATCTGTTTGACAGTTTCTTTATAAATAAAAACATTGACGAACACTCTATCACTGAGAAACAAAAACTGTGAGCACAATCCCCATGGGATTAAAATGTGAAACATGAGGTAGTTACTCCATAATGGGCAATATCTATCAAGCATATAGACATGACTTATCTTCTGTCAAAAATGAAATTTTTTCATAGAAATACTAGTTATAAGATTGATCAAAAAACCAAAATTTAAAAAAACCAGAATATTTCCAATTGAAGATATTTGAAACGAACTCTTACCCTAAACTCACGTGAAAAACTTTTTATTTTAAAAATTGACAAATGATGTATCACTTGCTTCGATTGTTCATATTGATTCCAAAATATGTTTTTTATTTTTCTTTCAAAGCGCTTCTGTGACAAAGAAATCGGAAAAATCTGAAAAACCAAGACTCTTAGAGAACCTGGATCTCAGTTCAGATACATTTGTGCTAACTGAGTGTATATATCTCAGTTATAGAAGAAAATTCTCTGAAAGCTTTGATAGTATCGAATTAGTGGAAAAAATTGGTAGTCAACTTTACAGAAGACGTCTTTTCAGAAAACACTTGCGAGGGAACATTCCCAAGTGTCACATCGCTTTTGAGTTCAGACTCTATGTATAAGGTAGACCCCAGTGAGATATGAAAAATCCCGGAAGAATAAGTGCCCTTAGGCCTTCTGTCTAGAGTTATAGGCATTTTACTGGAATTTTAGCCTTTGGCATGGTATATATCGACAAATAGAATGATGGTATTTTGACCTGAGATTTTGCCTACAGATAGATCTATTTGTGAGTAGAATACCCGGAAAATTTTAGCTCAAACGAATGTTTTATTGCTGAGATAATAAAGTCCCAAAAAACAGTAAATTCTAGCATCTTTCGTGGGATATGATTGATTTTTGGGACTTTAATATCTCAGCAATAAAACATTCGTTTGAGCTGAAATTTTCCGGGTATTCTACTCACAAATAGATCTATCTGTAGGCAAAATCTCAGGTCGAAATACCGTCATTCTATTTTGTCGATATATACCATACCACAGGCTAAAATTCCAGTAAAATGCCTATAACTCTAGACAGAAGACCTAAGGGCACTTATTCTTCTGGGATTTTTCATATCTCACTTGGATCTACCTTATGCATAGAGTCTGAACTCAAAAGCAATGTGACACTTGGGAATGTTCCCTCGTTAGCTTAAAAAAAAATAATTAGTTTTTCAGAACGAAATGTTTCTTGTAAATCGATAGAATAGAAATACTAATTTTAGACTCTATGTATATGATTCATTGTCTAACTGCTTTTATGTTCCACAAGAATAGTATTTTTTCTCTAAAGATGTCGAAGTTTGACTTTTTTTGTGATGAAGCTTTTTCACTAAAGTTAGAAGTTTGAACAAAATCAAAATTCTTTTTTTCTTTACCAAAAAACTGGTTGTTAATCAAAGTGTATAGGTTACTATTTATATCTCCAAAAAATCTGATTTTCATCTTTTTCACCAAATGTCCGTATGGTTGCCTACTGTGCGCTGTTGTTAATCAGACGAAGATTGTTTTATTTTGTCTATTTTGAAGTACATTTCTCCACCATTCTTTCACTTAATCTTCCAGAAATGGATTGATTCAGTAATTCATATATTAAAATAACATATTACTGATATATGGTTTTTGATCTCATGTCAACAACAGCTATCATAGTCTGTGTCATTTCTATGGCCACGTCTGTCAAGACCTGTGATGGTTTCCAACTGATGTATGTCACCAGCTGTATGGGGCATGGTCTAAAGCAGATTGAAACTAGTGAATTATTTTGTGAAACACGACTACCCTCCTCCACACCAGAATATGAGAGACGCTAGTCCAACATCGTGATAGATGTTACTAACATACGATCACAGATCGTATTTCAATAATACATCGTTACAATATATTAACTACTTCTTTATTGTATTTCTGGAGGATTAAGTAAAAGAAAGGTGAAGCAATGTATTTCAAAAGAGATAGTATAAACAACACTCTTCCTGTGATTAGGAACAGCAATTACATCATGTTTCTTATTTTAATGCCGCAGAAATTGTGCTAATAGGTTTTATGGTGCAATTATTCATCAACCTGTGCTCATATTATTTTACATCAGCTATAAATATTTATTGTCTTATTCTTTTCAGAGTTATCGACAAGAAGCACCAAGTACTCCACCTCATATAATTCTTCATTATTGTACATTTAAAACCGTTTGGGATTGGGTAATACTTTTATTAACATTTTATACATCATTACTCGTACCCTATCATGCAGCATTTAAAAGTAAATCATTAGATGATGTGCCTTTACTTGTTGTTGATAGTATTGTTGATGTTATTTTCTTTATTGATATTATATTAAATTTTCATACAACATATGTACACACAAGTAAGATATTAAATTTTATTTGAATTTTGTTTTAATGTTATTTGATTTTGTTTATTTAATAAAGAATCAGGAGAAGTTATATCTGATCCAAAACGTATTAGAAAAACATATTTAAAAAGTTGGTTTGTTATTGATTTATTAGCTTGTTTACCATATGACGTATTCAATGCATTTCAAGAAGCTGAAGAAGTATAATTTATTTAATAAAATGAATTTCGTTTTTCCTTTTTCGTTTTTTTTTTCTGATTGATATATTTCAGCGATATGGCAGTATATTTTCAGCATTAAAAGTTTTACGTTTATTACGTCTTGGTCGTGTTTTTAGAAAATTAGATAATTATTTAGAGTATGGTGCAGCTGTTCTTTTATTACTTATTTGTGTTTTTGTACTTGTTGCTCATTGGTAAGGAAAGAAAATGATGGAAAAAACAACAAAGTTTTTAAAATTTATCTTTGCCTAGGTTTGCTTGTGTATGGTATACCATCGGATTTCGAGAAGGACGAGGTGGTCCTGGGAAACGAGTATGTCAAAAAAAAAATCAGAATGATATTCAATTTCATACAAATTTATAAAAAGTTGCACGTTATGCCTTAGTTTTGTTTTGTAGCAAAAGTCTTTGGAAAGCTTAGAAAAACAGTGTAATCATAAATTTTTGTTAATTTCATTCTATTTGGGTTTGGCTTTCTAATCTTCGCATATTGAGTCATAAGCATTGGGTTGTTAAAAACTCCCATGATCAAATTTTCAGCTGAAATTTTGTCCATAAATAAATCTAATAGTTAATGGAAATACTTCGAAGTTTGAGCTAGAACAGACGTTTCTATATAAAGATATCTATTTGCCATTGAAAAATCCTTTTTTTTTGAAACATTGCTTAAAAGAAAAGATATTTCTTTCAAATGTAAATATCCCTTAGCTCAAAAATCGGTCATCTAGGTTCTCAAGGATCTTATGCACATAGGGCAAAAGTTCAGTTAAACATTCGTAACTTAACACGCGAAATCCAGAAAAGCAAACCGACGTAGATTTTTTACTACTCATCATGATTGACTGAATAGCCATAGTGTCAAGTACAGAGTGGTAGAATAGTTGGGAACATTCCCTTATTTGATCTAATATAAACTCTAATCTCTTCAATAATTCATAAAAATTGATTCCACGTATACAGTTACATTGACATTTTTTTTTTTGAATAGATGGAATATAGTTGGCTAGTAAAAATGGATAGAGAATTACATTATGCATGTATTGATTCCTATGGTAATCTAACAGCATACGAATCCAATGGTACATGTCGAAAAGCAGCCTATGTAACAGCACTTTATTATACTATGAGTTCATTAACAAGTATTGGTTTTGGTAATGTTGCTGCTAATAGTGATAATGAAAAAATTTTTACATGTGTTATGATGCTTATTGGTTCACTTCTTTATGCAACTATATTTGGTAATGTTACAACAATATTTACACAAATGTATTCAGCTACAGCTCGATATCATGAAATGTTAAGTAGGTATGTAATTAAAATAAAATTATTTCATTTTTGCCTTTTTTTTTGATTTGATTTACTTATCTTGTTTTTTTTTTCATGTAAAGTATTCGAGAATTTATGCGTTTACATGGTATGCCTAATCAATTAAATGAACGTATTATGGATTATGTTGTATCAACATGGGCAATGACAAAAGGTATTGATGCAACAAAAGTATTAAATTATTGTCCAAAAGATATGCGTGCCGATATATGTGTTCATATGAATCGAAGTGTATTTAATGAACATCCAGCATTTCGTTTAGCTAGTGATGGTTGTTTACGTGCATTAGCTGTTCATTTTCATATAAATCATTCTGCACCTGGTGATATGTTATATCATTGTGGTGAAAGTCTTGATATGCTTTGTTTTATTGCATCTGGTTCATTAGAAGTTATACAAGATGATGAAGTTTTAGCTATACTTAGTAAGACATTTTTATTTATTTGTTGATTGTTTCAATTTTATTGACATATATGTTTATTTTTGTTGTTCATTCTTCTTAGGTATAAATGATGTTTTTGGTGATGATTTTTGGAGTAAACATCGAGATAGTGTTGGTCAATCAGCAGCTAATGTTCGTGCATTAACATATTGTAATATACATCAAATTCGACGTGAACGATTACTTGAAGTATTAGATTTTTATCATCCATTTAGTATATCATTTGCTCGGAATATGTTGCTTACATATAATTTAAGACAACGTGTAAATGATTTTAATTAATTAGTTTTTTAATTTAATTATTGTTGCTCTTTTTATATTTAGGTTGTTTTTCGTAAAATTGCTGATGTTAAACGTGAACGTGAATTAGCTGAACTAAGAAAAAATGAAGGATTAGATCAAATAAGTTCGGATCATCCAGTGCGAAAGCTAATATCAAAATTTCGTAAAATATCACAAGAAAATCGTGCAGCTTCACAAACTATTTCTAATGTACCTACACCTCCAACAACAATAGTTAGTCCACCATCACAACAACCATCACCACCATCCCCACTATCAACCATTGGACAATCACCAAGTACTGAAGCATATGATTCTTTAACAAGAACAAATATGACTTCATTACCAACTTCACATTTACAATTACATCCATCATCAACTTTAAAAAGTCGAGATAAACTTGAAACAATTTCTGAACGTATTGAAACACAAGAATCACAACTATCTCAAATCACATCTGTTCATCAAAGTCCACCATTACAACGACCACCAAAATCAAGTAAATGGAAATGGTTGAAAACGGGATCAACTGGACCTGAAGCAGATTCACCACCAAGAAAAACTGGTTCAAGCACCAAACAAATACAACAACCATCAACTAATCCATTTGATTCAAATTTAACTGATGAAGATACACATGGCAAAGCAGAAGATGGTGATGAACGACGATTATCTATTCCGCTTAGTTTATTTATACCGAGATCAGTTCGTCAGGAAGGTACAAAAGTAACAGAAGACATTAATGATGATCAAGTAAGATACTTTTAGTTTTCGAGAAAAATATTCGAATAAACATTTCTTTTTTTTTTTTTTACTCATAATTAGAAACAATTAGATGAATCTCATTCCGATATAAATACAGCATTTGGACCTCGTCGCAGTATATCATCACCATTCAGTGATCATCCATTATTATCATCATTAATTGATATAAAAAATGATTTAAGTAATGAAGTACGAGCATTAACAAAACGTATGATACATATTGATGAACAAATTAGTCAAATTTTTAACTTTCTTTCACCACTTCATTCGTCAATAAATAATAATACACAACAAGTATTGGATACAACTCAATCATCATCAATTCCATCTCAACCTTCTTCACTTTTACCACCATCATCATTAAACACAACAACGAGTCACTCTAAAACTAACACTTCTACTCTAAAGTTTCCAAAAATGTTCGAAGAACCTTCATACTATTCAGATATAAATACAATAATTCCATTTTTTGATGCGAATCAATCGTCATCACCAATAACTGATGTTTCTATACAGCCGAAAACAAATGATCCATTGTTAACAATATCATCAACATGTCAAATCAGTGATTATGATTCAACCCCATTATCAATTCCACCACCACCTTCTGTCTATAATCGTTCAGCTAGTTCGTCAGTTGTTACTTTAGGTATATCGACAACTCCACATGGTTCAATATCCAATAAAATAGTACCCGCACCTACTAGTTCTAAACATCCATTGAGCGCTAGTTTTCGACCGATTTCTAATACTCGTTTTAATCCGGGTCGTTCTCCGAAACCGAAAGCTCGTTCACATCAAAATCGATCCAATGTCAAGCATCGACAACAACCTGAGAAATCAACAATTATTGAACTTGAACCCTCAACACAAAATGATACAACGAATAAAAATGTACCGCTATTTTCAACATTATCATCAACAACAAAATCAGGTAGCAAAGTGTTTCGTCGTTTCATGGGAAGTAGTAGCAATGCAGAGAAAACAACAATGTCGTCAACAACACTTCTCTATCCACCTACAAGTGATGATGAACATCCAATGAGTCCTACTAGTTCAGGCAATGATGATGATGATCATAGACCATTGACTTCATCTTCAAGTAAATATCATCATCAAACACCTCTCTGATTTCAAACTATTAGTTTATTTTTATTTTATCTTCATCTCATGGCTTCATCTCAGATAGGTGAATCGATGCATTTTATTTATGATATTGTGATATGAATATTTTCTCTTGAACTTTTTTCTACCTTGATTTTGTACAAGTTCACCGGTGCATATTTCTCTTTGTTTTGTTCCTCTCTACGTGTGCATGTGTTAACTGGTCAGTGTGTTATGACAACATTTTTCTTCTAATCACACGTGTCCCAGATTTTTACTAAAATTAATGCTCCGTGTTTCGATGACAATTTACATGTTGAAATAAAAATATTAACAATGATGTATTTTGTGTAACAGATAAATATTTCTATCAAATGAATTCTAAGTCATCCATATTTAATCAACGCAACATTTTTGATTTCCAAGGCTTTATTTCATAGAGTACTTTCATTCGCTATTGTCATGAGTTTCGAACGAACTACTCAAATATGGAGGCTAGTGCAGAGGAGGATAATAACATGTGATTTTCTATTGATTAATAATATTCATGCACTGATTTCGTTTCGTATCTAGCGAATAGTGTACAATAATAAAAGACTGACCAAACATTTTAGTTTAGTTGAAACTGAACTAAAATCGAAAAATATGATTGGTTATGATCGGTTGCATCATAGACAGACAATCATATTTTTCGACATTGTTTCAGCTGAAACCTTCAGTTTTTATAAGTGTCTACTAAATAGTCCAATACATGAAAACAGATGACAAAATTACACGTTTCAATATCAATTAAGTAAATAATATAGTAGTGATGTTTTTAATGAGTATCTGAAATACAATGTACGGGTACAATATGTTTTTCTGAACAACGTGCATCTGTAAATCTTGTTTGGTAGACTAACGTGCACGAAATGTATAATAACTGCAAAACTAGTGTCTAACAACCTCAAAGACTTGTTTTAAAAAAACACTAACTTAGTTTTGCACTAATGAAAATATGAAGACTCAATGATGAGGATGCAGGTGTAGAAGGGACCCAGACCCAAACTGATGCTCTCCCCAACCTACTATTGTCACTGTCGCGTTGCGTTTGTCTACAATTCACCTAAAGAGCAACATCGATATGATAGAAAATATGAACAAAGAACTGAGAATCTGTGATTGTTGAAAATCTTCAGATAAAAACTAAAACTAAGATTTATTATGATGTATTTTTTTTCTCCTAGTATTTTCTTTTCTCATATCTCTTTCAGCTCTTTGAAAGATTATTTCAGTACCACTTGACATTAATATCAGATGGCACGCAAGCTATATACGTAAGCTAAGTATAGAAGAATACGAAGGATGTAAAAGTGCCCCTATCTAGTAGTCTATTGGATGTAATGTGTGTAGTCTTGATCATGTTCAATAGATAAATTTCTTTTAATCATATAGGCACGAAAGTCTTATAAAAAAAAATTGTAAAAAGAAAATTCAATGTGTATAGCGTACACGCTATTTTTTTTCTTCTATGTGTAAAACAATGTGTAATTTCTTTTTCATTAGGGTACCGTACACTTTGTTTTACAAGGTGCACTCTTTCATCAGAACATTACATTGTAGTTTAGTTGTATGATGAACAGTTGTTACGAAGAATATCAATCGAACTGTGGTGGATAGAAAGATAATCAATCATTTCTGAGGCAACAGTTAAGTGGTGTATTTTGCCATCGCGATTCGAAAGACTTTAATGAGATGTTGCTAACTCTATTATTAGAATCAGCAACACCTCACTAAAAACGATATTTTTTCGAAAGCATAATAATACAACACTAAATCAAGAGAATAGGAAAGAAAACATTTGTTGATTTTTTGTTTCTTCTACATACTTTTATTTAGTATCACAAAATAAAAAAGTCATTCATTCTTCTATACCACTTTAATGGAAAAATAGTTTACACAAATCAATGCCATTTCAATATGAATCGGTTTGCAAATAAAAATTCTCTTATTGCCTGTATATTTTCTATTAGTATTGTAGTTGCCTGATCATGTATATTTTGTGTTGAATTCATAGTTAATGTGACGACACATCTTTTAATGAGACATTATATTTAGCTATTGTTCCAGTAACAACATGGAAACAATCTGTACGTTATCTAATTCTAAATGAAACCTTAAAATTTGAGAACACCACATAACATGTAATTCTTATAGCATTAAAAGTCATATCGATATACGAACATAAGCAAAACAGATAATTTTGGTACAATCTGTTAAATATATCTATAATACTGGAAAGGTTTCCATTATCAACTATTCAAAGAACAAAGTTATGGCTAGATAGGGCCTAAGTTTCAATGAAAAAATTGTTGAAATTATTAATTATGAGCAAGGTGAAAAGTACAAAAATGTAAATATGGGTCTTGGTGTTAGCAGTCACCAAGAGAACATGTATAATGTAAACTATGGTTATAGTCATGTTATATTCGTTTAAAAATGATGAATGAATCGATTTCTTAACTGCAACGTTTTTCAACTGTAAGATGCATGAATCTGCAATGGAAGAAAAAGGTTTCCATGAAAAACAAAAAACTTGATAGTGATTTCATTCATATAAAAATTGACACCAACTAATAATAAGTATCGTCTGACAATTCATAGATCAACTCATTATCTACCGTTACTTGAATAATGATATTCTCTATTACGTGAAATGTAGTAATTTAATAATCGTTTATACTAAGATTGAACTCGTCAAGATATCATAACTATTTCTATTATTATCATTTTGAATTTACCAATTTATCTGTTTCCTCAATATTAAACTAAGAATCATTTAAGTGTCAAAAGTAAAGAAAATGATACACGTATATAACAGAAAATAAATCTGTTAGCAGAGTTATGTGATACAAAACTTCGATTTTCAGTTGTTTATGTATCAGATAATGTAAAAATATCAAACATTCCTCATCACTGTAATTAATCAATCAATACATTTAATGCTTACTATGTATGAAACAAATGATATGATAATGCAGTCATAAAGACCACATTGAGTAAGTAAAACAAATTATTTGGCATATGAGGAAATGTAATAACTTATATCAGTTACTTTTATTTAGATTGAACAGCTGAGGATAACTTGAACAGTATACCAATAATTCATGAACGGCTATGCAACAGATAAATGGTCCTATGATAATTAATCAAATAACATCATCCTCTGACTTTTTTTAATTTTTAGAAAATGTATCAACTCTTACCATAACTAGTCAAATTTGAAATCATTCACCAGAAATGATATTGTAAATGTAAGAAAGAAGCTTGTCAAACCTCCTGATTTTTGGACTTTTCTCCTAATAGAAAATCTCCTGATTTTAGGAGCTGATTTTCAACATTTTCTCCTGATTTATAAAAGAAATTCTCCTGGTAAACTCTTGTTTTTTGATAAAAAAAACTCCTGATTTCCGAAATTTTAATTTGGCAAGCCTGATAAGAAATGGCTTATTTTAAATGAATCTGCAAAGCTGTCTTCATTAGGTTAAGATTAAAAATAATATCTATGCACCTCTGATCAATGACACACGACACATCAGTAGTTATGAATCAATCTAGAGATCACCCATAAAAATGTTGAAGGGTTCATAATGACTAAGAACGTAAGGATATATTTGGTGAGGATTTAAGTATTCGTTAAATGATTCGCTGTAGAGCTGGTCTAATTAGAACTCATCGAGCTCTATCAAGATCACATCACAATCGTCAAATTCAAGAGAAGCAGTAATGAAAAAATTGATAACCACTCTGTTTTTATATCATGAGTGGCAAAACGTGTAAATTCGTTAAAGTCTGAGTAGCATCCGGTCTGATTGCGACTAGGTTTGGCTTTATTCAATTGTAGGGCGTTATAGCAGCGTATATGATATTATGAAGCGTTTAGTTCTTTTATTCCAGATTTTCTTTGTCTTCGTATTGAGACAAGAAATGAAACAGTATGTGAGTAGAATATCATAATATAATGCTGACAGCAAGCAGAATGTTTTTCAGCAATCGTTCTGCTTGATGACTACATATAGATTAATGTAAAAGTCAATTTCCAGTCAAAGCTCATCAATAATGACATTAATAGTCTAACAGCTTTATTTTCTTGTTATTATCAGTAACTTATTTTTTTTGGAACAAATATTCTACTTCAATATTTGTAGTTCTATGTCAGTATTTATTGTGTGGATTGGTCATTTTCTCAGTGATCAGTTCAGATCAAATTAAGACAAATGCTCCATCATAGATGGGTTTCTTTTATCGGCTGTATTTCATGTAATATACTCTAAATTTTATCCATTTTTTTTTTATCAAGTTCAATGCATTTTAATGAAATGCCAATTACAATCGTTGACCATACTTTAATCTTAAGTTTCACCTAGATCATATCACAGACGGAAATAGCATTTTTCTATGAAAGTTTTTGTTTAGTGCAACTTCATCCAAGTATCAAGTTAACAAAGGCTTATTAATCTAAAAATATAAGATGTCATTTTGAACTCGAACTTTTCAGCTTGTTTTATGTTTTTCATCGACTCTCGACAGCTAATAAAGATTAAGCATTGATGGAGATTCGTTGATATAGAGATTACAAAAACAAAATAATACTATAAATTTGTAAGAAAAAAAAAATCGTCTTTTCTTAAATTGCACCATTCAAAAGCAGGACTTAAATTATTCCAAAAAGATTATAGATTTAAAACTAGGAATCTAAAAGAGTTCTTCTCTCATGCTCGGTGTGCAGTAGCATATAAGTACGTATACCAATCTGTAATGGGATCAATTTTCGATAAAAATGTTTATGATCCAATTCTGCTGATCAGAAACTTAATGTACTATACGTAAGAACATAATTTCATGTATAATATTCTATATCTATGGTAGTTTTAGCTAGAAAAATAGAATTAATCAATATAAACTGATTATATTATATTAATTGATAATGTTCAGAAAAAACTCAACATTATTTTCAAGTATACGTTAATGCATGTTAATAACTCAGG